CCACGTCCTCGGCGTACCTGTGAGCCAGTGCCCAGACTCCATAATCCACGTCCGGTTACAGGGCCGCCCAGGCGATCTTCATCCGGGCGTCATTATCAGCGTCACTCTCAGCAACAAGGCGGTTTTGCTCTGCCTCCAGGGTTGCTTCAAAGTTTATCTGAGCCTGAGCAGCCTCCTTCTCCAGCCTCTGAACCTTGGTCTTCAGTTTGGTGTTCTCTTCGGAAACACCTTTAAGTGTGCCAAGGTCCGTTTGGGTCTTCTTGAGCGCCCCCTCAGCCTCCTTTTTAGCCGTCTCAACCTCCTTCTTAGCCGTCTCAGCATTCGTCGCCCGCTGATTGGCCGTCTTCAGATCTGACTCCAGCTGCTAGATTCTAGACGCCTGTGTCATAATTATTGCTTTAGTTTCAAGTTCATTTACGATAGTCGAGTGTAAAGCAATATTATCAGCGTCTATGGCGGACTTCTTGGCCCTTTTTACCTCTTCCCGTTTGCGGGAATAAGGACTTTTGAGCCCGTCCATCCGCAGCATGGCCTGCAAAAAGTCAGGCGGTATAAGTATTGCAGGCGGGATAAAACACTTGGAAAAAACAAAATTGAATTGACAAGTTTCTTACCTCAGCCAGAAGGGATAGAATGCGTTCAAGATTGAACGTCTCTATCCCAGGGATATTGTCCTTATCCCTCTTCCGGACAGCTTCCAGCATGGCCTTGGCATGCTTCTGGACGTTTGGCCAGCGGGGAGATTGATCTGCACCACAATCAATACGTGATGAGTGCGAGACTAAGGCGGCACCTATTTGTTGTCGGCCGTCTGAAGATGACGCCTGTTGAGAGTGGGATTTCACCCGTAAAGGCCACCCCAGCTCAAGCGGGGATTCAAAAGGGTTCTTACCTTCAGAGCCGGCTAAGCGGGAACCGCTTGCAGGCGTGGTGAACCCCGCGGCTGCTGATAAGGGGTTGACAAGATCAAGGCACAGGCTGCCGCCTACCTTCTCGAGTCTCCCCGCTATCCGCATCTGCTGATGCCCGGCTGAGGCGCCAGGAGTTGATGCAGAGGTGGATTTTTTGATTTTGTTGAGAACGGCAGGGTTCTCCTCCCTAGCCCGTTTGAGTTGTTTCTCAAACGACTTTCCAACCTCTCCTCCCTGCAAAAATAACCAAATTTAAGGTTAGCATCCGGGAAAATGATTTTAAAGGATCAATTTATGAAAGGGTCAGGCGTTTGATACCTTGGCCTTGACCTCAGCCGCAGCCTTCTCCGCAAGATCTTTGCGGATGGTTGCAGAAGACCGCTTGGGAGTTTTCTCCGACTGCAACATGTTTAATGCTTCTTCTGCAAAAAGAAAGAAATTGATCAATATCATAAATCAATTTCGATAGAAAAATACTACAGACGGATATAAACTCAGGCGCATACCTTTTGTAAACATGTGCCCTAGCCCGCAGGCGGCTAGGAAACACTCATCTTTGAACCAGGCGCTCTTGGGGATCTAGTTCTTGGGAACTTTTATTGTTTCCCCGGTTGACAGAGTGGCGTCTGTGAGGCCGAAAAAGTCTGCCTCAATTATCTTGTTAAAATCTTCCTCTGGGATCCGGGGAAGAGCGCACTTCCTGCCCAACAAGTCGGGTTTCTTATTGTACAGACGGAACTCATAATTTTCCCGTCTGGTTGGGGCTGACATCAGGTAGAACCTGTGCTTCCAGCCATCGAACTTCGAGACCTTGTCCAAGGTCATCATATATTGAGGTTGCGTGGTTAGAGTGTACCACGCCCTCCAGCCGCCTGGGCTTCTGCTAAGATAGTGCATACTAGCAAAAGCCTCCCAGCCGGGGTTAAGCCCCTGAAACTCGCAGGCGGCAACATACCCCAGAATGTTCGTCCAAGAGTTGGGGGTAAGTTGCCAGATTCCGAGGCCGTAGCCTCTCAAAATTGCCTTCACCGCCTGGTGAAAGGGAAAGCGGAGACCAGCCTTGAACGCCGCCTCATAACAGCCAAAATAGTTGTTGGGGTTCTGTTCATCGTTCTCCCAGGCGATGGTGCCATTCTCAGGCGGCACCCGAATTCTATACCCGTCACCTAGCGGGTGTATTTGGGTAAAATTCTTTAAGTTCTCCTCCATTTGGATCCGGTCTTTGGAGGAGACGTGGATGTTGAAGGGATCATCCTTCTCGTTCCACTTTTTCCTTTCAACCTCCTCGCTATCCGGAAGCGGGGTTAAGTCGTCACTGCTCTCAGAGGTAGAGGCGGAGCTGTCGCTCTCCGTCTCCTCCTCACCTTGATTCAAGGGGGCAGAGGCGGCCTCGTCCCCGCCTTGGTCGCATTCCTCCAAGAAGGAATCAACAGGAGTTGAAGGGGCGCGCGGAAGGGATCTCTCCAGAGCCGTCTGGCCTCCCTGACCAGACGTTTCTCCCTCAGGCGTTTGGCCGCCTGAGCCTTCGCTCTTGTAATTTGGATCAGTAGCCGTTTGCTTTATCCGAGCCATTGTGTCCTGCACAGACACGTAACTGGTCGGAATCTGAGGCAAAGGGTGGTCCCAACACCCCGAGACGGCACTCCCAGTCCTAGACTCAGCCGTCCCTGGTGACCGGCTGGACTCTAACCTAGGCTGTGCCGTGTGTGTTGGTGATGCATCCATTTATTGCAAGAAATATGTACAAGCGGTGAAAAAAGAAAAAGAGCTGAAAGAGGCAGAGACGGTACCTTTTGAAGAGAGATCTGAAACTAGGCGGGTCCGGCTGGGTCTCTGGAAGACGAGCTTTCTTGCTTGCGCCTGACTCAAACGGGTGACGTCTGCTCTCTCAAAGTTCTCTCTAGAAAATTTTTTGTAAAAGTACCAAAATTATGAGGGTAAACGGCTATATATAGAGGGTAAAAACGGGGGCATTTCCGTAATTTACCCGGAAGGTGAACGGTTACTCTTTAATGGTAAAATTACCGCCAATCGAAGCGTGAAACATGTCACAGATGCCACATGGCGTGCCACGTCACATCTGTGAGGGGCAAATGTTTAGGGTAATTTTACCCCGCCACGTGGTCCAATCAGAGGACGACACGTGTCAGCCTCAGGATGGCCCAAAGTGGACCAATCTCTGCTTGACACGTGTCGCTCCAGAAAATAAGGGGAAAAAGGGCGGCCTTCAGGCCCAAGTCCCGAGAAAGCCGCGAAGCGGCGCAGCCCACCACTGATTAGGGTACAGTGACCTAATCAGGGGCACAAATCCCAGAGACCCTATAAATAGGGAGATGACCCTCTTTTTGGGGAGAGGTTTTTGGATCATTTATTACACATTTACTCTTTGATAGAGACATCCTGAGCTTGGAATCCGAGCAGATCCCTACCTAAATTTCCGCACCTTTTTCTCCCTTCAAGTGACTAACTTGTGCGTCGGAGGCGGAGCACCACCCAACTGGTGTCTCCGTTTGTTTTGCAGGTACAGCTCACCCCGGACCAGTCTTCGTGTTGTAACTCTCCCGAGGGACAAAAACACCCAAAACAGTAGTAGTAGTAGTAATAATAATAATAATAATAATAATAATAATAATAATAATAATATTTAATATTTAATAACAATAAAAAATCATTACTATTATTATTATAATATTAGTAGTAGTAGTAGTAGTAGTAGTAGTAGTAATAATAATAATAATTTTAATAATAATAATAATAATAATAATTAATAATAATAATGATAATAATAATAATAATAATAATAATAATAATAATAATAATAACGAAATCTGCTCTGCTCTGCTCGGCTCTGCTTCAATCTGCTCTGCTCTGCTCTGCTCTGCTTTGCTGAAATCTGCTCTGCTCGCCTGAAATCTGCTCTGCTCTGCCCAGAAGCTCAAAAGAACAGGGCCTTACTCATATACCTAAAGGTAAAATCATAATATTTCTGTATAATCATTCCTTGTTGCGAGTACCAATAATCTTATCAATCCCTTACTCATTATACCAAAAATAATCAATTTCATCTATACCATTTTTTTTTACTAATCCTCTAGTAAAGGTATGATGCACTTTGCTATTCAAAACCATGATTTTGTCAAGCTTTCTCATGATTAGATTGGTTAAGCTCCTATTAAAAAAAAAAACAAAAAAAAAAAAAGATTGGTTAAGCTCAATAGTTTCCTTTACAACTCATACCTTTAGTCATTGTTCAAAATGACTACTGAAAAATGTCTTATACCTTACTAAGGTCTAATGATAATGCTTTATTCATCACTTTATCAATTTTTCGCAAACTCATATATTTCCATACACTTTGGGACATATTTTCTTTCACCAAGGGTAGCGCGAAATCATCTTTTAAGTTGATAATTGTCAATTTACACAACATTGAGACAAGTGTATATCGTTTATTTGCTTATTTACTAAGGGTGTGTTCTACTCACCCGATTTTCACTGATTTGAACTTACCTGAACTATTTGAATTTATTAGATCTTATTAAAACTTATTTTAGTTGTAATTTGTATTTAGTTAACCCTTATAAAAAGTTATTAAATTTGAACTGAACTTATATAAACTTATTACACGCTTAAATAAGTTAAAATAAGTTAAACAGGACATAGCCTAGCAAGTCCGTAGGCAAATGTGATGCTTATGGTGCAAGATTACATGAATGTACGACTTTCTAAGTCACTTTATCAATTTTTCGCAAACCCATATATTTCCATACACTTTGGGACATATTTTCTTTCACCAAGGGTAGCGCGAAATCATCTTTTAAGTTGATAATTGTCAATTTACACAACATTGAGACAAGTGTATATCGTTTATTTGCTTATTTACTAAGGGTGTGTTCTACTCACCCGATTTTCACTGATTTGAACTTACCTGAACTATTTGAATTTATTAGATCTTATTAAAACTTATTTTAGTTGTAATTTGTATTTAGTTAACCCTTATAAAAAGTTATTAAATTTGAACTGAACTTATATAAACTTATTACACGCTTAAATAAGTTAAAATAAGTTAAACAGGACATAGCCTAGCAAGTCCGTAGGCAAATGTGATGCTTATGGTGCAAGATTACATGAATGTACGACTTTCTAAGTCTATGGAGTTTTGAATTGTCAGTGGCAATTCATCTTCCAACTCCCAACACCAAAATCAGCTCACCAATTTCTGCAACCCAACAAAAACCCTTCAAATCATGTAAAACATCTCATATTCATACCAAAAAAATGGGAAAGAAGAAGAAAGAAAGAGTTCCAAACGTATTATGGAGACAATTCAGAGATAAAGCAGCTTCACTTTCCAAAACAATTATCTCAATTATCCCCAAATTTTGCAATTGCAATGGAAAGGGTAAATGCATTCGTTGTGTTTTCGGCAATGGTGATGATGATGCTGCAATGACGTATTTGATTAGACCTGATGATCCAATTGAGTATCGTAGATTGATGACTACTTGCTTTGTTGTTGTTCCTCATAATGCTCCGCCTTTTCCCCCTCTTTCTAGCTTCACTCGACATTGGTCTCAGCTGCAGGTTCTTTGTTTTTAGTTCTGTTTTGTTGGTTAATTTTTCTGGGTTTTGCTTGTTTTGTGGAATTTTTAGCATATTTTTATTACTAATTTGGTTGAATTGTGTGTTAAGTGAAGTGGGATTATCTGAAATGATCATATAGTGAACTCTAACGGAGAAATCATGTAAGCAAAGTAAGGTTTCGGGTCAATAGGTTGGGCGGGTTAGATTTTGGGTTGATTTTGAGTTGTGCTAAAAAATGTATACAAATAATGTAAAACATTAGGTATTTGTATAATATATGTATGATACATGGGTCACATCGGGTTGAACTTGGGTTGTTCGGGTTTGGGTTTCTCTCAAAAACTTCAGGTTCAGGGTAGTTCCAGCTCCTTAGTCATAAGTAGAATAGTAGATGTTAGTTACTTAAAACTCTGAAACTTTTTCATGATGTTCTTTCATTTCACATACAGAGTACTAATTAATAATTACCGTTTTTCGAGCTGTACTGAGGTTTGGATGTCAATTTTCTGAGCTTCTAGCTTAATTTTAACAAAATATTGCATATGAGTGGATTAGTGGTAGTGGTATAAAATGGTTTTGAATTGGGTGCAGAAACCAGCAAAATTATGCCTAGACAAGTAGTAGTATTTTTTGTTTATTGAAAGCAGACAAATTGTAGTATCTGCTAGCTGATTTGTTTTCATACTTTTTTCTGCTACTGAGCAATGTGGGTGTAAATATGCCATGGGATTAAGTGAACTTAATTTGTATAGGTGATTCTGAGGATATATTACCTTAGACAAATTGAGAAAAAAAATTGTGCTGCCCGTCATCACCACACTAGTTTCTCATAGTTTAAGTTTCTGCTATTGTTTGCTGTGTGTGTGTGTGTGTTTTTTTTTTCCTTTTTTTTCTGGTTGTTTCCATGTTTGAAACTTTGAATAAAAAATTATTGTATGAATTCGCATGTATTGGTTTTTAGTGCAAACTAATTTTATTTTCTTGCTAGATAAAATTGTACCTATTTTGTGCTTTTAGATTGTTGAGAAGACCATTCAAGCATTATTCAATAAGGCAACTGCACCATCTAATGTCTTATGCCATGGTTATCAGAAGGTATCCTTAATTTTATGATAAATAATCATGTTATCTTTCTCATCTGCATGTTTGAAAGGTCTAGCATGAAATTATCAATTGTTTATTGTATTTAAGAGATGAAATTCCATTATATTATAGTGAGGGGCACTTATCTACTAAACGAAATTACAAAGAAGAAAACAAATCTCTATCATGCATTACTTTAGTAACGTTCATGCCATGAAAAGACCATTGCCCCATGTCGGCAAGCTTAAAGAGGCACTAAGAATGATGGAGAAGACACTTGATGATGAATGTATCGTGACACAATTCATTCATCTTCCACCTCCCTAACCTTGTATACCCCACCTCTAGATGGCCAAGAGAGTATATGGAACCCATTGAATCCAACCAAAATATAATAATTATTAGCCTTTACCATAGAAAAGCCTTTGTCTCCAAATGCAAAATTAAGTGGATTATTATTGTACTCGTACAAAGTTACATGGCTACCAACTCAATATTTCATGTTGATTATTAGAGTTACATGGGATTAGGTGTATTTTGACCAATTCATACCCAACCAATTCATTTAAACTTTTAAGGTCTTGGTTTTTTGGTCATTAAGCCAAGACTATGTGGTTGTGTGGCTATTGGATGAAGTTAGGTAGAGGGGTTTGGCTTACAAGTTTGTTGCAAGGAAGGTACATAGTGGTTGTGTCATGGGTTGGTAGAGTACTTTGTGGATTGGCGAACATTGTTCTATACAGTAGGTAAGTCCTGTGCTGTGTACACATCAATTATAATGGAATCTGGTTGGGTTGGAGACAGAATCAAGACACAAGCATGGAATGTGTGACTGGCCTTTGTGACAAGGGGAGGGGTGTTAGGTTCTTAAGTAATTGTCAACAGATGATATAAGAAACTCACGAGTCTGGGTAACAGGGTAATGAGGATGTCTAAATTCTAAAATAGTGACGGACACTTTTTTCTAGGGTTCATGCGATCGTTGCCACGCCTAATATAAAGCAATTTACAAAATATTTATTTCGCTATTAGGTCTATTGTTGTTCCTGCTTTTATGTTGTAGGCCCTGTTCTCTTCACCTTGTTCAAATAAAATTCAGTATAAATAATATTGGACCTTTGATTAAGTAAATAAAAGTTCAATTAATCAGTAAAAATTAGTAACTTTGATGAACAAATATAATAGAGAATCATTAAAAATAAGTTTTAATCAGTAAAAATAATTTCGGTTCTGCAATTATAAGATGAAGAGAACAGTGCCTTATTTTGATTTGCATGAGTAGGAGAAAAGAAGTTGCTTTATTAGATAATTTCAGCATTTAAAGTTAGATGGCTCCTAGCAGTGACAAATTCTAATGCTGTATTGAACTCATTGTCACAGTTTAAACTGAACAGCACCATTGTAAAGGTTCTAACTAGCTGTACATGGGAACTAGCCTTAGAAAGGGTATGTTTTCACACTTTTGGCTATTCAACTGATGAAATAATTATGAGTTTCTGCTAAATATTTGCCTCCATTTACTTCAAATTTATATTCTGCACAGGTTGGGGATAGTATCATGATTCATCTACTTATGCACACATTGATATTTATGTCTATCACGTGCAATGCACACCAACAAGTAGCGGGTCCTCTTGTCAGTCAGCTGGTTGCAAGGCTTCCCATGCGCATACCCCTAGATGACTCTGGATCTTCCATGCATGAAACTGATGCAAGTAGGTAAAACCATTGTGATGTTAAGCTCTACATTGTTTAATTCTTCTCTGCCTTTACTTTTGGAATGTTGAAGGTTATATCTCCAGATAGTAACTTTACTACTGACCTACTGTAAGCATTGTACAAGTAAAGGAGAAAGGCTTTCCTGTGCATTCTTTGCCCACTTCCTTTAGTTGTTTTCACTCATTACCTTTCACTTACGTTTTCTTTCTATTCATTCCAGCTTATGTTTTCTTAATCTATCCACTTTCTTACACTTTAACCAACATACTCTCTCTCTCTCTCTCTCTCTCTCTCTCTCTCTCTCTCTCTCTCTCTCTCTCTCTCTCTCTCTCTCTCTCGTTTATAGCCTCTAACTTTTTTAAACTTTTGATTCACATTCAACATCTATCTATTAATAAATGAGCCGAAAAGACGTGTGTGACTTGTTTTTGGATGGAGGGGGCTTTATTGTGACTTGTGAGAAAGATTTAGAGGGCATCTAGTTCACTACAAAAAATGGAATAATCAGGAAAGTAAAGATAAGGAAGACCCATATATTCCAGCTTGTTTGGTTAGGCAAGAGAAATGGGTCTAAATTCCTCTTGGTTGTGTTTAGTAGAAGATTGAACAACAAAACCCTCCACTTCTTTTTCCTGTCTTGTAATATAGCTCCTTTTCCATTGATAGAAGAATGAATGCCCTCTTCCTGAACCAACCTAGTCAACACCACTACCTCTTACACCATGTGACCATAGTAGCCATTCATCTACCACCTATCATCTCGCGATCACTAAAGGAACGCTATTGCTCCACCCCCACAAGAAATCTACTTTTGGTGGCCATCTAGAGCTTTAATGGTGGATTTCAACCATTTGCAGTCATTTTGCATTTTTTTTTTTTTTTGCTACCTTCTATTCTTTCTATCACGCTTTAGTTTGTGTTATTATGGTGGTTTTTGATGTGGTGGTTGTGGAATGGGGATGATTCCTACCTTGAATGGGGTTTTTGGTGGGAGTGGTCGGTGATGTTAGCCACGTTAGGGTTGTTGTGGTGGTTGAAAGTCTTGGGGGTTTTTGGTCTTTGGGGTATGTTGTAGTGGTTGGTTTTTTTTTTTTTTTTTTTTTTTTTTTGAATAGATGTTGTAGTGGTTGTTGGTTTTTGAGTAAGTGGATCAGGTTGGTGGGCTAAGTTTTTTAGGTAGGGGTAGGGGTAGGGGTCATGGTGGTAGCGAACGGAGGTATAAAGGGAAGTGTTTAATGCTAGACTTATGGAGGATGATAAGGTCTGCACTAGTGGTGGTTGCCAATGGCTAGAGATGACCTGATGAAGATTTGTTGATGGATTAGCAGTAGAGTAGAAGGTTCGGTAATCGATTGTTATGGCGTGGAGGAGTTTAAGTCCCAAATGGTAGGTGGGAATCAAGATGAGGGGAAATGGGTGAGCTCCAAATTGATTAAAGAGGTGTGTTTTTTTTCTTTTTTTTTTTTTCAAGAATTATCAAGCTGAAGTATGTTCTAGGGAAATTAAGAGTTTCAGTTGCCTTTTCCTTTGATTGATTTACCACAACAAACAATCCCTTTTGTCCAACTTTTTATACCATTTCCTTTATGTAATTACTATTATCTATATTTTTAACAGCTTAATAAGAAAATTTGCTAATAATGCTGAAGCTATTCATATATTGCCGTTTTAATAGTCACTCTATTGAATTGTTTTCTTAAGTTTTTTTTTTTTTTTTTTTCCCCGTAATCTATTATGGAGTAACAAGTTTACTTCTGTACTTTAGAAAAAGTTAAATGTTGATATTATAAAAATATGGGTTACACCCAATATATCGAAACTCAACATGGCAAATCTAACAAAATCCCACATAATAATTTCTTTTCGTATATACTAGCCAAAAAGTATGATCAAAGTTACAAAGTTTGACTGTGACAGTGAAACGAGAAATTGAGCAAAGGAGTAAGTATATTGCATTTATAACAATCATTACATGATTGCCGCCAATATGCATGCTGATAGCTACATATGACTTCAGCACATATTCAAAGATTCAAAGGCTGTAGTGTGATTCTCCTGCCACCTTGAATCTAACCTCTCTTTAGCTATGTTACTCGGACTCTTCATTTCGTACCCGTGTCGGACCCTCGACACTCGGACATGGGTATGACACTTGGACACTTCACTCTTAGTTCAAAATCATGGAATTTTTTCAAAAAATAGCCGAGTCAGACGCTTGGACACGTATCCGTGTCGGACATGGGGTACCCGGGTCCAAGTAACATAGCTCTTTAAATGGGAACTTTAAATATGCAGGCAAACCTGCTAGATGATGTACTCATACACTCATAAACATGCTTAAGTGTTGGATGAAAGTATTTGCATTTTCAATTCAAACTGAATATCTATTTTGAGCTAGTATTTATAGACATGTGCTTTTGATGGCTACATTTAGGATACAAGCGAAAGCGAGGAAGAGGCAATGGAAAGATTTCGAAGTCTGAAGAGCCTGCCAGCAAGGTGCCTTGTAGAGCTGGTCAGGAGAATTCATTTGGCTCAGTTGACTCTGAAATAGTTGTCTGTCAAGGCAAAAATTCTCCCAAAGTGAGCCCTATGATCTCTGAGAAATGTTTACTTGGACAACATGCTACTGAAGAGCAACCCATTGAGAGGCTCAAAGTGGAGCCAAGGAAGCGTTTGAGATTGCCAAGTTGGCAACGCCGAAAGAGACGCAAGAAATTGGCATTACAAGACTGCTGTACTCAGGATCCTTCCAGGAAAAATTTGAACGACGTGGGTGATTTTCACAAGAATTGCCAGCATGGTTGGGTCAACAATAAAGGCCAGAGTCTGGTGGTGCCTACTTCAGTTGAAAATAAAGATAATCAAAATGGTGCTGATCTCTATATGGAACAATCGGTAAGCATAGGAACAATCGTAAGTGAAACTTCTTTGGTTTCATTTTATCTTATTTCTTGCGTAAGCATATGAATATTTTTTTATGCTTGAAAGTTGGTATATAAATTCTTTTGTTGCTCATTTTGGCCAGACACATGCTCTGTCCTGTAAAACTTTGTCATACTTTGTCCAACTTTGCAAAAATTTGTACAACTTAATCACTTTACTGTTTACTTTGTATTTGAGATGCAGCTGTGCCCCTGTTGCTCGGTGTTTCAATCACTGTCAAGAGTCCCTAAAGATGCTGAAATTACTAGGAAGTTTATGTTCTACAATGTGAAGTATTCATCATCTCTTTTCCTAAAAAAGCGTATCCTTTATTAAAATTTGTAGGCTGCAACTTTTTCTGTTGTCTTTGTGTGCCTGTTTTTTCCTCTGTTCTATAGTTATTTCTTAATCTCTTAGATATCCTATACTCCTTGAAACCTGGTTTTGCAGGTGTAAGTGATCTTCTACTACATATATTTGGTTTGCCAAATACAAGCTCAAGAAATTTACCAGCATCATGCTTCCATAAACGTGGGCTTTGTTCACAAGGGTCTATTTGCTTGTAAGAGTATCATTCTGTTGTTATACCTATCTGTTGTTTTAATCACATGACACTTGCATTTGGAATTTGTAAAAGCAACCAAGGTTTCAGTATTGAGAAACTTAATGACCCGTGCTTAATTCTTTAAATTGCATTGTTGATGTCTCAATAATATTAACATGGTAAAAATTTGAGATGATTATTGATAACCTCATGTAACACGTTCATTGTTATTTTAATGAAGAAATTTTGGAATGGAATTTCATGAAAATGGAGAAAATAAAGTTGGTTTGGCTACTTCCCATGGCTATCTATTCTTTTCCAGTCCCCCTTAGAGTGTGAGGATCGATGTGGGGATAGTTATAGAGCTCTTTTCTGCTTATGTTGGCTGTGTGGTAGCCCTAACAAAATTTTTAAATATTAAATAAAGAAAAGGGATGTTCCTATTTCTTATTCTACTTATAATAAGAAGAGGCATGGCAAAAGTAACTAATAATATTTCAATTTCAAATTTTTTTTTCCCCTTTCCCAGATATTGCTTATTATATTCTAGGAAGTAATATTTGTTGACACTTCAGCTTATAAATGGAACATGATGGCATTCTCTTAATTTGTGCTGTGTGGATTAATGAAAGATTAATGAGTTTATTAGTCATATGCCACCTTTATCAGATTGAATATTTTGCTCTAAAGCTAGGATTAGTGGACAACTACTTTAGGCTGCCAACAAATGTAGTTAGTAGTTACCCTGATTTTTTTGACTACTACAGGAAGAAGATTGGGGAGGAAGGGTTGGTGGTGGAATTAAAAACCAAAAACCCATCAGTAATTTAAATAAATACTAGTCAAGGTCTTTTTTTTCTCCTGCCAAATAATGGCTTAAAAAACCTTTACCAAGCAATCCTTTTTCTATAACTCATGAGACACTACTGACTATTCTTTATATTTAAGTGTATACTGTATATTCCTGAATATTATTATTATGTTCTTTTAGATAATATGCTAATCTGTATGTTGCTACCGGAATCACACTATAATTGCCAAAATATCATAATTTTACAAAACTTTCCTAACATCACAAATTTCTCTAGTTTCCGTGGTCAAAGCTCTTGATGGACGGGAGCTAAAAATCCAGACCATATTGAACAAATTTCTTAGACTGAGCATAGAAAAACTTGGGTTTAAAGCAGTTTTTATTAGTTCGTTCAAACTGGGAGGAGCTTTTCAGCTTATATCTTTCAATGCGAGTAATTGATCTGTGTGCTTCTCTTGTTATTGTTTTGTATTCTCCTGTTCTTTAGAAACGACTGAGGCCAACCACTACATAGGGATAGGAAGTGAGCAAAGATGGCATATCTTTGTAAGCGGAGTTAATTTTTAATGTGGCTTTTTGTTTCCCTATAGTGGCCATAGCTTCCATTTAGCTTTCTGTGTACTGTAATGACCTATTTGGCTTTCCTATGGATGTTTGCTCATATTGTTTTTCTGGTGTTCGTATTCTAAGATGGGATATACTTTTCTTAGTTTCATTTTTTATGCTAACTCCGTTTCACATTATTAGCAACATTTGCTAAATATAGATGTTTCATATTATTTGCAGCAAATGTTTTCTCTCCTTTTTAATTTGTCTATTCTCTCTATATCTCTCCGCATCACATGCATCTCGTTATTCCTCTCTCCATTTAACTCTCACAAACAAATTTTTCCTAGGAGTCCGTACAACCCTCCAAGGCTCCAAAGTTACAAATAATAAGAAATGGAAGTAGTATTTTGAAATTATATGAGTGATAGCTTGTCCTCTTTTTTTGGTCTTTCCAAAAGAAATTTTGTTTTCCTATTATTGCTAAAAATTCATTTCATTTCAGATGTCAAACTCCTTAAGATAGTCTTGTTCCAACATTCTCCACCTCTTGCAGTGTTGCCTCTTTTGACTATATGGTGTAAGTGGTGTGATACATCAGATTATTTTTTATTATTATTATTTTTTTAATACATCAGTCTTGTTTCAAAATTATCCTCTTTAACGGTTTCTGTTGCAAGAGGCAAAGGACGTTCAGTTTGACATTTCATAACTTCAAAAGGCGTGGAAGCGGCATGTAGCAGATTTCTGTGGAATTACCTGACTAGAAGAATTTCCATTTGGCTGAAAATTTTAGTCTTCTACCATGACTGTGTACCGGTAAAATCGATGTGTCATCTGATAATTTCTGTGACCATCTCCTTTTTAACTGGGAAGACGTTTTGATGGAGATATTGAATATAGCTCAATGACGAGGTTAAAAATTGATTAAGCTCTTGGTACCTGGAGAAATTATTCATCATTCAATTGACTGGAAAAGATGTTAGCTTAAACCAGTTTCTTGAATTTCTTCTTTAATGCTAATGAAGAGGACTGTTTGACCCTTCTAAATTTACTTGCAGCAACTCTACTCTGTTCCTAGCTCTTTATCCCTTCGTGGAAACCTTTCAATGTGTGATGTTAGATTAAGTGCAAATCTCTGTTGGCTCAGTAATCTGAAGGTTGTTTATGAAGGAAGATGACTAGCTTTACATCAGAAGCATGCAAAATATTCTGTCGCTGTGCAAGTTCTTTAGCATGAATTATTATTTTATTTGGTTAAGAGCCACTGCTCAGATATATTAAAATTTAATAATGATTTTAACACATGGCTATTTATAATGAATTTTCCAGATACCATTCTCTCGTGAAGTTGCTTAAGGTCTTTCTTCGCAGAGCGAAGAAATGCCACCATATAAGGTTATTGGAGAAGCACTGTCCTTCTCAACCTCTTTTTCAGCTTGATAGAGATGGAGATGTTGGTTCCAGTCTTGAGGTGAATTATCTTTCATCTCATATAAATGTACCTACTTTCTCTTTTGAGAGTTATACCAAAGCATGTTTCCAAACATTAATAATGTACCTTTCTATCACTTTTGCATACATGTCTATATACTTTAAACATTACATGTAAATATTTATTCATATCAAATTGATAAACGCAGCCGTAAGGGCTCTAACAAGAGTCTGATTGAAACATTAAGTATTAATTGAACATGTATAACATTGATTTGCTTAATATCATCATGAATAATCCTCCCTCCATTATATTATGTTCTATTCAGTTACTATAGATATGCAATTTATGAAATTATTGAAGAATGTGAGTGGGTGTAAGATTAAGTAGGATAAAGTAAGAGAGTGAAATGTAAAAAGGTGGATTTGTATAAGAAAATGATGAATAAAGTACGAGTGTGTGGAAAGGTATAATTATTGTGTGGTTGAAGGGGTAAGATGGTAAAAGGGACAAGCCAAAAATAGAATGAAGCAAAGTGAGTGGTTCAAAAAAATAAAAATAAATACAGAGTACCATTTTAGGAAATATATCTAATGCTTATACCTAGCTTTATATATAAATATATATATATATATATATATATATATATATATATATATATATATATATATATATATATATATTTAATTTGAGAATTTTATGTTTTTCCTAATCAGTGGGGTCATGTATTTGAGATTATAGAGGTCATGAGTTCGAATCCTCATACTTGCATCTTAGCTTAGCTTCTTTTTTTTTTTTTTTTTTTTTTTTTTTTTTTTTTTATCAAGTACAATGATGTGGAAAATGTCAAAACAGGTACTGTGTTGCCAAGTCTTTTGAAAATCTGCACCTTTTAAAAAATAAGGGTTGGCCAGGACAGGAATGTTCTTAGATTCTGATCCTATACAGGAATGTCTATACTGAATACTTTTCTACTTCAATTCTGTAATGGATGCTAGCAAGAGATTTGGATTGTTTTTGTAAATATTGTAAATTTGGTGTGTAGATTGTTAGTCTAACAATTGATCTTTTTTCAGCCTAGAAAAATGGAATCAGAGAAATCAAATTCTAAACAAGACGTGTTTCAAGGAACTGACCAGTTGCCCAAGAGGCTTACTTGTACCGAAACAAGGGGTCACAGGAGAACAACTGAAGTCATTCAGCGTCAATTCGGTCTCAGCCGGCCATATTGCTTAAAGGATGAAGTCGTATCATATATTTGGGCTGTTTGTCGGAATATAGTCCCACCTGATCTTTTAGGATTACCATTAAGCCGCAGAATCTTGCGAAGAAACATCTCTAAATTTATTAAGCTGCGGAGGTTTGAGAAATTTTCATTAAAGCAATGTTTGCATAAGCTAGAAGTGTCAAAATTTCCATTCCTATCAAATATTGAGGCTTCCAAGTGCTCTAATGCCTTTGTCTTTAAGCCTACAAGCGATCAAATTTCTGTGGTATCGTCAAATTCACAAAACATTGGCCATTGTCCTTTAAAACAGATGGTTCTGGAACGATGGATCTTTTGGTTCTTTTCTCATATTGTGGTACCCCTTGTACAGGACAATTTTTACGTCACGGAAAGTGAGCAGGGTAAACAGAACTTGTATTATTATAGGAAATCAATTTGGCAGAAGTTGAGTAACAGAGTTATCACATCGCTGAAGGATCAGACTTACCGTTCCTTGAATAATGCATCTGTAGCAGAAATATTAAGCAAGAGGTCATTTGGTTTCTCAAAGGTTAGGCTTTGCCCAAAAGAAAATGGAGCAAGACCAATAGCGAATCTGAAAGCAGCATCCAGATTTTGCATTAAAAGATCTCTTTCACATGCTCAATTGCGCAAAAAGAAGAGAATAAAAAGAACTCATAACAGAAATGCCCCCTTTTTGAAGTCTGTAAATACTGTTCTGCGCAATTTGCAAGTCATATTCAAGGATCTGAAGGTGAACGAACCGGAAAGGTGGGGCTCCACTGTTTTTTCTTATAATGACATCCATAGGAAATTATGTTCATTTCTGAGGCATTTGAAGGAAGGACAGCCAACTATGCCTATGGTATACATTGTAGTTTCAGATGTACAAAAGGCATTTGATACTGTCAAGCAGGATAAGCTTCTTTCGGTAATTGATGAAATACAAATGGCGGACAAATATTCCCTGCAGAAGTCCTGTGAGATCTTCTGCAGGAAAAAGTGCCTGTGGATTTCTGAAAATCGAAAGTTGATGATTGAAGGTAACAATAGTGGATTGACAGAAGACATTCCTCCTGTCCATCAAAGGACTTGCCAGACTGTTGTTGTGAATCAGGTAAATAAGTTTGTAAAGTAGCCATTAAAATGGTGTTCGTATTTGAATTGATCTCAGATGCACAGGTGACTGGTATTTCTGACTTTAAACCTAAGCACATCATAAAATTCAACACCTAGATAAACATTAGTGAAGGAGAGGGTTTTTGAAGAACGCTTGTTAAGAATGATCAGTTAAGCCACATATGATGTGTCGTTAACTGAAAGTGAACTGATTATGGTAGATGTGTCGAATGTGCATTTCCCAAAATTTGTATTTGTGTACAGAATAAAAAAAGGTGTTTTTGAATTAGTTTCTATGAACATGTCCTTGAAACCAGGGTTTTGTGTGTCATTTATAGTCTAATTTCTGCTTGACCATTCTGCTTTAAACGGAACCTTCAATTGAAGATGCTTCCGTCAGGAGAGCAGTTTTGTTTTGTGCAACTTTACAAGACACGGTGAAACTGATTAATGTGTAACATGTTATTGACTGCAGGAGCAAGGCATGACTGTAAGAAGGGAAGAACTTATGTATAATTTGAAGGAGCATCTGAAGAATAATGTGCTCAAATTAGGTCAATATTATTTTTTGCAAACTGTTGGCATCCCTCAGGGGAGTGTTTTATCAAGTCTGCTTTGTACACTGTACTATGGACATATGGAGAGGAATGTTATCTTTCCCTATCTTTCCCTATCTGGTCAAGACATGCCAATTCATGTTGACAATGGTTCAGCTGCTCTTGTAGCTACTTCAGCTGTATCTTTTTCCTCTCCCAAGTATCTCTTACTCAGGTTTGTTGATGACTTTTTGTTGGTATCAACATCCAAAAAACAGGCTAGTAGCTTCTTCTCCAGGTTGCGAAGAGGATTTCATGCCTATAACTGTTACATGAATCAGGAGAAATTCTGCATGAATTTTGATTATGGCGGTACACATAAAGTTGATTCAAAGAGGCTTTTAGTAGGCAGTGATGGTGTCTCATTTATGCAATGGAGTGGCTTGCTTATCAATAGCTGCACTTTAGAGGTTCAGGCAGACTACAGTAGGTAATTCCTAGACTGGCCTTTTTTGTTGTTTCAAGTCATTCTATTTTGTACTCCCTCCGTTTAATAATGTTAGTCCCATATGGAATCAATCACATAAAATAAGAAAACAAATATATTTGGAATCTAACATTAAAGTACAACATAATTAATAATTAGTTTACTTTATTTAACTTTTTTGATTTTTTTTATTAGGAAAGCACAAGTCATAATTGTATAATTTAAGGTAAAATTTTCCTTACTTAGAGTCATGTCATCAATCCACAATCAATTAATTCCAAAAACAATCAAGTTATAAATGAATTATATTCAATATGGGTAGATCTTTTTGAAATGCCCAAAATAGTATATGGGACTAATATTATGAAACGGAGGGAGTATGTGTTTTTGTTTTTCATACAACTAAAGATCATGTAGCTAGAAAATGATACCGATTTTCGGGGATTGTGTTGTCTACTTGACTATAAGGCCTCGTACTCTTCACCTTATTTTTGCTGAACTGAAATTATTTTTACCGAAACAAAATTATATTTGCTGAACTTAAATTATTTTTACTGAACTGAAATTTATTTTACTGAACTGAAATTATTTTACTGATTTTCAATTATAGTTCTTCTTTAAGAAAACTGAATTTTACTAAATTGAACTTATTTTTACTGAACTGAAATTATTTTTACTGAACTGAACTTAATTTTACTGAATTGAACTTATTTTTACTAAACTGAAATTATTTTTACTAAATATTATTTTTTTAAGGTGAAGAGAATTAGGGCCTAAATAATTTTCTTGTGAACTATTTTGAGTCATGAATCTCGGGATGTCTCCATTTATGAACGACAATGACTGGAATTACAAGTGTGCTTACCACATTTCTGGGAGGTCAGAATGTGTGAACTGGTATTGGGTACTATTCCATTAAGGAGCAGCTAGCAAGTTAATTATATAAACGTTGCTAAATTGTTAGTAATACTAGAAGGTACATTAGATTTACTTGTATCAGTTTGCTTGAGACATGTGCTTTATGTACTTTTTCTATTCCATATATCTATCCCACTTGATAAACTTTTGTTCTTTTCTTTTTTTTTTTTTTTTTTTTTTTTTTCACATTAAGGAATTTAAATGCAACATTTTCAGTTTCAAATATAGACAGTAATATTAGTCAGAAGTTTCCAATGCAATAACTAGATAGTCCATATGTGTGCCTAATCTGTAAAGACACTTGTTAATCAATGTTAGGAATTAGGAGTAACTATTACATCAATGAATCTTTGCTTTAACATAAGACTATCAAATATAAGTCTAGTCATTTCATGGTATATGAAAGTGACAAGTATAAGGACAGGCTAGAGCCATCATGTGAAACCTTTGTTCACATTATACAAATGCTTCCCTAACTCTGAAGAGAAACAGACTATATAGTATGTACCAAATTGATAATTATACAATCAAATGTTCATAATTCCCCTTTTCCCGTGATTTTATATTGGTTGTAATAATGTTTCGTGTACCGCAAGTAATGGCAGTAGCTAGGAAGGAAATACTTTTTAATATTTATCCTTTTCCCCCTAAAATTCTCAATTTTCTGTGAGCAGAAAAACGGATGCTTTCTCCGATGTGTTATTAAGCTATTAACTAATTATGTTCTTTAACTTTTCATCTTTATGAAAATAAGTTTCGGTGCCAATTAGTTCAAAAGCTACAATGTTCAATAAACAACTAAAAATAAGTTCCAAGTAGTGTTTTTAGGTGAAAAGAATGAAACCTATGTTGTAGACAGCCCTGAACTTTGATGTTATGTACTCAAGCTTAATTGGTTTTTTTGCAACCTGGTCTAATAATTTGATTTAGTAAATGGTTAAAAAATACCCTTTTAATTTGTTGCGGTTTGCTCTGAGGTCATCATTGCTAATGTGAAATCATTTTGAACGTACTATCATTGAACTTGTTGTAATCTGCCATGCAGTGAATTCCTCAATAGTGACGTGAAATGTTGTTAAATCTTATCTTGGAGCAGGTACCTAAATGATCATATGAGTTCGACGCTGACTGTGAGCTGGCAGCATAGACCAGGACGTCAATTAAAGGCCAAGTTGCGTGCTTATATGCGGCCTAAATGTCATCCTATATTCTATGATACAAGTATAAACTCACCAGCTACCATCAGGCTAAATGTGTACCAAGCTTTTGTGGTGTGCGCGATGAAGTTCCATTGTTACGTCCGTGAATTGTCATTCTGGTGCAAGCTTCAGCCAGGTTCCTGCCTCTCTAGTATAGAAGGGTCAATTAGGTACGCCTAAAAAATTAAACTTTATCTTCCTATATTTCACTTTCCTTTTTGAAAGAGTTCCTATTGAAAATCCATTGTCATGCCATACAGAAAATAAAGGCAGTGCTCAAAAGTGCTTTCTGTTGCTGTAAAGTCATCTCTTTTCAATTTCTTTTCGCATTGGTCTAAATTCAACTGCGGAATATGGATAATAACCCTGCTTTAACTCCATGTACGGAATAAATCTGAATTTTTATTTAATCATATAGCCGACTCCACTTATGGGATTAAGGCTCTGATATATTGATTGATGAGATACAAGGTATGAACTATTTTGTTGAACCTTTTGATTGTCAGATATATGTACAGACTAATGAAGCGAAGGATGTATAAAGTTAATTACGAGCCTGACTGCAATCAAGTACTTAAAGTAGCAAAACAAGAAGTTATATGGCTTGGATTGACAGCTTATATTCGGGTGCTGAGCAAGAAAAAATCACGGCATATATTTTTGCTACGCCTCTTAAGAGCCAAGTTGGCGGCAATTTCAAATGTTCGGATATCATCAGGACTGAAGTATGCTGTTGATGATTCTCATTCATCCTTTCTGTGGAAGATTAAGTACTAGTGACAGGAAGTTTCTTTCAAAATTGTCTTTAAAGACACCTTTAAGGCTGTACTTCAGGTCGGCATGTCCAACAATCCCTATCTATTTTTTGGCTCTTTTGCCAATATTTTAGCATATCCTAGTCAAATGGTCCAAACTATTGTCTGAAATTAAACCCTATATATTGAAATCACCATTGTGTCAAAAAAAAAAAAAAAAAAAAAAAAAAAAAAAAAAAAAAAAGAAGAAATCACCATGATGCGCAAAATGGCGAAAGTGACTGACCTATTTATAACCTCTATTATATCTGTGGCCCTGTGGGAACATGCCCTAGTTCAGAGAATATATTCAGACAATTTATTTGAATAAATTATCAAAATCTCCCCCCTCTTTTTTTTTTTTTACACCAATTATTGAAATTTTTACAACAGGAAGAAAATCTCTCTTTATTTTTTTTTCTTTTTTCTTCTAATAAATGAAATCATTACAATAAGAAAATCATTCCTTTTTAAAAAAAAATTGGGGAGTTGCCGAATTTTTGACAAATACGCACCTTTGCTGTCTTAATAGTACCTTTGTGTACTTAAGTGACCTTTCCATGGACTCGCTAATTAGAATGACACAAATTCTTAAATGAACTTGGTTCACACTAATTTATTGTGAACCACTAATATTAGAGAAACTATGGTTGTTTTATTAATTAAAAAAAAGTTATTATAATAAAAATAAGGTCACTATGTTGAAATAAAAGTCATTTTGGTAATATATAGGCTATAAGAGGTTAACTTTTTCAATGAAATACTTCATATACTGGTCAATAGGAATAATAAAGGTCACTATGTTAAAATTAGTCATAACGTCGTATTCATGTTTACAATAATATTAACCATTGTACAAGTTTTAATAAAGTTTACTATGTTAAAAATAAGGGTCGCTATATGTTCAATATAATGTTAGTTGTGTGTATAAATTTCGGGTTCACAGTACTGTGAACCAGGTTCACGCAAGTCTTTCTGTTAGTTTTTGAATGTACTAGGGTGGCTGGGTACGAGTGACGACTTAACGTGGAAGCCATAATTAGTTATAGTAGTTTTTTTTTATATTTATCCTTATGTTATAACTTTAGTTGTTGGTAGGATTAATTAGAGAGATTTTTTTGAGATTAAATCATCCCTCTAGGTTTTCTCCTTGGGAGGATTTTATTTCTTCCCTCTAGGGTTTTCCCTTGGGAAGGTTTTTCCTAGCCTCCATTGCTAGGTTTTTCAATTTTTTTGAAGGTTTTTTTTTCTCTCCGACCTCTCCCTTTTCTCTCCACCTCTACCATCTCTTTTCCTCTTGGTCTCAATTGTGAATCTTTATAGGGACCTTCACTGGTGTTCTTGCCGGTGGTAAGCCCCAAGAACCTTTAAATTTCTTTCAATAATAGATCTCATCCAAGAGATATGATTTTTCTCTTGATTATATTTTCTTTATATGTTTCTATGACGAGAGCTGAAGATCCGAATCAGTGCGAACTCACAGATTGTATTGCTTCGGATGAAGTTTTTTATAAAGGCGATTGTCAATTAAATGTATAATAAGATGTGTACTTGTTGGAAATTTTAATTTCTTAGGAATTATATGTAAGTGTCGTTTGGCTATATTTTATTAATGAAATCCCTTTCTCTTCTTGTCAACAAAAAAAAAAAAAAAAAAAAAAAAAAAAAAAAAAAAGATTAATGAGAGATATTATATAAACAAATATCTTGAGTGCAAAAAAAAAATATAAACAAATATCTATAGGTAAATAAGTTAATAAACATTTAAGAAGGTATTATTATTCAAATACTATTCATAAGAGATTAAGAGTTGCTCAAACTTTTTACAAGACTAGGGTGGCCAACGCGCGCGATGCGCGCAACATGGCTAGCCAATGCGGAGAAGTTATCAAGGCTTGTCTTCGTACTTAAGATTTTAGCTTGTACATAGTTATGATTAGTAAGCATTTTGCACGGAAAAATGTCTTATGCAATCTTTAAATACCTTGAAACTGGTAAGGATTAATACAATGAACCTTTAGAAAAAGTAATAATCGACTATTAAGTTCAAAATCATATATCCTTAACCTTTTTCTTATGTATTTTAAAGAGTAAAAAATAGCATTTATATGTTTTTCTTATAGAGTCTAGATGATTCTCTAGAATAAAATTTTGATACATATTACAAGTTGAAAAACAAAGAGAAACAAACAGAGGAATAATGAAATTTTGCATCAATTTATTCTTGAGTACCCTCTGAGTAGTTAGGACTCTTAGGTGTTAAATTTTAGTTTTGAGTTTGGATTTTGCCTAAGTCCAATGCAACGTGCATTTATACTTAGTATTGTTGTTAAGTCTAATATGATCATCTAATATAAAGTTTTGGTATCTTGAACCCAATGTAGAAATCCAAAATAATAAAATACGGAGTAGCTTTTATTTTTCCTCTCTTTGTATATTGGTCTAGGGGCTTTATTTTTTTTATTTTTTAATACTTTGTAATTAAACCCAATGTAAGAAGAGCTTAGTTATCCGATGCAGGCAAGCTTGAGCTCAGCTTAATTCAACTCAACAATACAAAGAAATACAGTAAATCATTAATAAGTTGATACTCATTAGATGCAGAGCATATAGCATTATTAGGATGCATCATATCAGAATCTCACCAGAAAAGCGGTATCTTCTCTTCTAACAAGTAACAATAAACCTTTAAGGTAGGTTAGGATTGATAAGAGAACTACTCACACCTCCTTTCCTTTAAATATAGAATATACATCCAGAGCCTAAGCACAAAGACATTCTACTCCCTTTAAAAAACATGTACCTTGAAAAATTGCATCTTTTAAAGTTGTGGACTCTCATTTTATGCTCGTAATCCCAAAATTATAATCGAAATTTAGATGTCCTTTGCATCTCATAACAACGAATCTAATAGCAATGTTGAAAGCGACCTTTGTAAAATTCTACAATCCCCAAAATCAAAACCAAAGTACAATCTAAAGATCATAAATAAAAATCCTAAAAAATCGTATAGGGAAAAAATTAAAGTACCTTTTGATCGGATTTGTGGTAGCGCTTAACTGGACAAACCACAAAGTCACTGACAAATATTCATGAAATGATCATATTGAAAGAATAGAAAGAGACATGAGGGGCTTCCATGGGGTAGTGCTTGGAAGTTGGTATATTTCCCTCGTTTATAGTGTTTCTGGTTTTCCATTCACTTTAATTATCTACTATATTTTTTTTCTTTCAAAATCCAATCAAATTTAGGAAAAATAGATTAATACCCATACCCTAAAATTTAAAAAGGATAATACCTTAAAATCTAAAATCAATCAAAACCTTATAAAACAATTGAAATTAAAATTGCAAAATACCTTTGAAAATTGTCAGTGACTTTGTGGTTGAAATTTGAAACCAATAATTCAACCGATTGAATGGGAAGAGATGAAAAAGTACGGAATAACAAAGAGAAGATATACAATATTAAAAAAAATCTTGTAATATTAAATGGGGGCAAATGCATAAATACACATTTTTTGGGTTATAATTGTCACAACACTATTCATAAAAGCAAGATTCTACTTTTTATAAAGTAGGGAAGTACTGAATAACAAAGAGAAGATATACAATATTAAAAAAATCTTGTAATATTAAATGGGGGCAAATGCGTAAATACACATTTTTGTGGTTATAATTGTCACAACACTATTCATAAGAGCAAGATTCTACTTTTTATAAAGTAGGGATATGGACTTAAAACTCATTTGGAGATAGATTAATTGAGAGAAGCAAAAAAGGTTAAAAAAAAGCCTATTGACGTTAAAACATATAAAAACAAAAACTTTTTTTTTTTTTTCCTTTCTATTACATTATATTGATATTGGATATTGTGAAATAATTCGAAGATATAATCTTTCTTATGAAATTCAAATGCCTCTTGAGCCTTGATTAAGTTACGACTCTTTACTTTGGTCTTCAAGTTGCATTGCCATTTGTTTGGCTGATTTGCAAATTGAATGAAAAGCTTTAGTTATTAATTAATTAAACATCTTACTTTCTATCAAGTTAAAGTTCGTGGACTTCTAATGCAATCCTAATATCCTATCACATCATCAACATGCAATGGGTCCTATCTCCTATGGCATCAAACATGTTTACGTAAACCTAGGGTGTGAATTCGGTTAAACAGTTCGGGTTTGGGTTGGATTTATCAGTTTCGGGTTATAACGGGTCGGTTTATAACGGATTGAAATAATAAGCGGGTCGGTTTGGGTCGGTTTTGAAAACTATCGGGTCAGTTCGGTTTGGTTTTTTTAATTGCAGTTTCTATTCGGATCGGGTTCTTATCGGATCGGGTTCTAGTCGGTTCGGGTCATAATCAATTTGGGTTGAACTGGGTCGGTTTGAAAACGGGTTTAGCCCATTTAATGTGGGTTTCGGTTAAAAACAGTTCGGGTCTTAATCAAGACGGGTTGTAATTGGTTCGGGTCATAATCAGTTTGGGTTTAACTGGGTCGGTTCGAAAATGGGTTTCGGTTCAAAATAGATCGGGTGAAATCGGGTCCAACCATTATTGTTTCGGTTATAATCGGTTTAGATTGAACTTGGTTGGTTTGAAAACGAGTTTACCTAATTTGAAACGGGTTTCTAATCAAAATCATATCGGGTTAAAATTGAGTCGGATGATTATCGAGTCGAATTAGTTAGATAATGGGTAGGAACGAGTCATGTTATAATCAAGTCAAGTCATAAATAAGTTGGGTTTATCGAGTAGTGGGTTGAAGCAGATTAGATCATAAACATATTGGGTAACAGGTTGTAAATGACTCAGTCATAACGGGTTACGGGTTTTAAACGGTTTGGCCATAACGAGCTACGGGTCGTAAACGGTTCGGTCACAACGGGTTACGGATTATAACCGGTTCGGTCACAACGGGTTACGGGTTGGAACGATTTAGGTTTATCGGATTTTTATCGGATTTTAATGGTTTTCGGTTTAAAATGGGTCGGGTTACTATCGGGTTTAAACGTAATCGGTTTGGGTTGCTTTCAGTTTCGGGTTGTAACGGTTTGGCTTGATAACGGGTCGGGTTAGTAACGGTTTGCACAAATTCGGTTTAGTTCAGTTTCGGTTTGGAAAAAATTGGGTCGGGTCAGTTTTCGATTTCCAAAAAACGGGTTTTAAACAATTCAGTTCCTTTTCGGATCGGTTCGAAACAG